TTACATCTCCTATAACCATGAGGTCTGAAGTCGAAAAAGAAGTTTCCTGATCCACCACAGTTTCGTCCGGAGAATCAATCAGACACGCATTAGGGTGAATTTAAATCTCATCGTTTAGCGGCTTGTCTGGTTACAGTTATGGATGACCTACTAAAAACTAGTTTTGTTTTCTCTGACGCAGCACTTTAAGTGATAGGTTCCTAGATACACTTTTTTCAATAAGGAAGACTCGCTACAGCGCTGTCTGTCGACATTAGAATCGAAGAGACTAAAGAGTAACGGTGTCGTCAATGAGTATGCAAAAGGCATACCTCTAGCTGCTGAATGACTACGTAAGATTCGAATAGCTGTTGAGATAGTATATAAAAAAGCTTGTAGAGCTAAGAAGAATAATCATTTCATCATAACGTTCAGCCTTTACTTGATTCAACGACAACAAAAGAAACAAAAGTACGTAAAAATGGTACAACTGGCAACAACAACAATAACAATTGCTGTAGCAACGGTGGTAGCGATTATGTGTCAATTGGGTTGTGATGGTGCACCAATTCAAAATCGAAGAAAACGTCAGAATGGATCGGTACCACAATTTGACTTAAACAGTGGCGCTTTGACAGTAGAGTGGACTGGTACTACAATTCAATATACTGGTTTCGATAGCAATGGAGGAGGTGTTATTCTAACAAGTCCCTTAATGTTTACTAAAGCTACTGAACTATTGATAGCTGGAGGTAGTACTAATTATCAATATTTGTATTCTGGAACTATAGCACAAATGATTACCAGCTCTATTATCCCTACTGAACCAACATTTGATTTAAACACCAACAATCTAACGATTAGTATAGATGACAAGAATATAATCATGTCGGGAACAGATACGAATCAACAACCTATCACGGAAGTAACTCCTTTTGGTTCTGTAGCCGTATCTCCAGTAAATTTGCAGATCTCTAGTAATTACCAACTATATATGTACCACTTCACAATGGTTGATGCTACAATAACAGTTTAATATATGTACACTTAATTCTTCTTTTTCTGAAGCAGACATTATTCGATTAGTCGACTTTGAATTTAGGTTTTACATTCATATTTTGACAGTTGTTAGAAAGAATACTGTATTATAATTTAGTAAGGTGCCGGTAATTCAAACTTCTAGTAAAACTTTTTTTGCGCCTTTTTTTACAGCATTTGATGGAGTTTGAACTGCTGATCACGAAAAACTACTTTTTAGCCTTAACAAATGCTGTTTTCAAATTGAAAAATACGAAAAACTTGAAATATTTCATTATATGTACATTTTAAACTCTTTTATTTATTAAAATTTTTTATTTATAAACTTTTTTTATTTACTGTTAGTGCCTATGGTTGCCAATAGTAGACTTATGTGGGCATGTTCTGAAACACTTACTTATGGCACATTTTGAAACATGAGAAATTCTGCATTTTTCTGTGTATGAGCTTTAGTCAAGAACTTTGACATCAGACGAAAACTTTTAGGAAAAATTTCTTTGGTATTTGTTGAAATGGCCACAAAAAATTCTATGAAATTTTTTTTCAAGGGGATTAGAAACAGTTTTTAAAAGTCAGAATTATCTGGAAGTAAAATAAGAAGCATTTGCGATCATCTTCACTCAAACTGGGCCATTTTCCAGCAGAAACCGTCTCTCATCTTTTAACCTGTGTACAAACATCCAGCTATAGCTAGCTTATCATCAACATTATCTGCAAGAACAATATTTAATGAACTGGATGATCCAGTTGTATGATACAATAAATTATTTTATAACGACAAGAACAAATGATATCTGTGTTGATCAATATTTATATTTAAAGTGACACCAACCCTTTTAGCATCAGTGGTAGCAGTGACAACACAAATACAACAAACACAATACAATCGCTATGAATTAGTTAGTTAGACCCGCTACCATTTCTGGCGCACAGCCTATTCCATTTGCAGTCTCTCTTTCACATTTAAATGGAAAAACTTCATCTGAACCATCTGAACAATCACACTTCAAATCCAAAAGAAATTTACGTTGTATACATTCATTGTCTTTCATAATACATTTAAAATGATCACTAAGTTAAAGTAGCATATATCCAATTCAGAATTTTCATCTTCATTAAAATAAATGTCATTTGTTTTGTCGTTTACGCGATGTTTTGATACGTATTTATTTGTTAAATTACAATTATAAGGTGGTAGGAGTTAAGTTATTATCATGACCGATTTTAAGGCTATTACCCATGATACAAAATGAAAGCAAAAATGAAATATGTTTGTACAAATCATTTCAGTTAAATGATGTTTTGTTAGAGGGAAGCATGATAAGCCGTTATAGATTAACACTGATTCTATGGAAGATGACAAATTGCTGCATTGACTGTGATTATAACAGATAAAATCTGGTCCACTATATTTTAGCCAATTACTTTTATTTCTATAATATGAAAAATAGATGAGTGGAGGATATGGCGGGAAGAAATATGAATCAGGACAAAAACGTTGAATGTTTTCAATAACTGACATGATGGGTAAGTTACAAGTCTGAAAACCAATTAGACAAACCATTGACTGCCAACACAAATCACTCATACTCTTGTCATTTTCTGTGAATACATATTTCAAATACAGAAAATCTCGTTGCTTAAGACAACTTTTAGTGAAACTAATATTATTCAATGCTTCATGTAAGTCACAATAAGAAATATCATGGGAAAGAAGGAGGCTAGAAATACAATTGCCCTCACCGCAACTAAACTTCATCCAACGCAATTGTATTCTTCACATTTTGCGGATGGATCATAGAAGCATCCTGTATCATCACGTTGTTCATCACTTCGATCAAGACAATCATCTGTGCCATCATAGGCCGAAGAAAGAGGAATACACATTCCACTTTTACAACGAAATTCTGTTTCTTTATTACATTCATTCATTTCTAACTCTGAACACATTTCTGGTGCTTCACCTTCCCCTCCTTCACAATCAACAGTTCCGTTACAAATTTATATCCAGTCCAAACACAAAAGATTATTTTTACATTTAATACCTGTATAATATGTTACATAGCTTAAATTTATTAGTTCATTTGTCAAAGGATTTTTAAAAGAATTGAACTGTCTACGTGCGAGATTGCTAAATGTCATTTCATCGATTCACCAAATGTGTATTGACAGTATTTACCGAACCAGATTTCCGAAGTACAATTACAATATGGTTCATTACCATAGTCGGCATTAGGAAAGAGAAGATATTTTTCATATAAATCCATAGTTTCTACCACTGCATTCCAATTATACAAATCATTTGTGCTTACATTTTTTACCATCAGTTGTTTAAATGTATAAGACTGGCCGTTATCACATTTCCGTATGTTTTCTTCTTCGTCGGAATTTCCGGGCGAATACAATAGGGCAGAATCAGCTATTATCACTTATTCCTTTATAATAGAAACAATCCGAATCATAACAATATGGACTTAGTGTTTTATCTGTATGATATAAATGAAGTTGTGTTTGGTGTACAAGTAGTTGTGTATCAGTGAATTTCAATTGTCAATATAATAATACCCCAAAGATGTCGGGGTCAACGGTCAAATATGACATGAGTCCTAAAATATAAGAAAAAACTTATCGTTTAATACTCGCCTTTTTCTTTCATGCCACGGCGCCTACGACGAAAAACTGACTCGTACTTCAAAATGATATTGGTGGTAGTACTTAGAGTAAACAATCTATCGAATAGAAAATGACCTGTTCCATATTTTTATCGTCTGACAATTTGTTCAATACAGAGAACATGAATGGTCTCTCTGGACAAAAGAAACCTTGTAGTCGCAATGTTTTTTACAGTTTCTAAAGACAATAAACAAAACTCTATATAACAACGGTCATTTTTGTAATATTGGAATCATGACTTACCGATCATATAAATAATGGTAAATGTGCTGAGTGCTGCAATGTCCAAAGACTTTCGATCAGTGCAGATCAGGTCAACTGCCAAAGAATTTTATTTGTGACGGTCTCTGGCAAAAGTGCAATACTGAGATATATATCAAAATTTCCTGCTTTCAACGTATAATTTGTGCAACTCTGGAACCTAAAAATATGAGAACTCAAAATATCCTGTCTTTGCAAATTGTATTTAGAGAAGAGAGAGGTGGGAGATCTTTGTCAAATATCGAAAAATCAGGAAATTTTGAGATATCTACTTTCAAACCTTCATTATTTTTAAGATAGATAGATATGACCAACAAACACTTCGTTTTTTGATAACACAGGAACGTGCTTCGGTGCAAAAAGTTGCTACCTGTCACTATACTCTCCAATAATAAAAGTTATGAAATATTCTTTTCTTTCTTTCCGGTTGTTTTTCAAATGGAGGCGAGGTTATTCCTCATATTAAAGAAGCTTGCCAGCGTAGGCATTACAAAGATGAAACTCGTTTTCAGGACATTCAGCTTGAAATAAGGCCAATACATAGTCCCCAGAAACGGAATCTAGGACATAACCAAGAATCTACTGATTTTTCTTTTGGATTCTCTGTAGATCAACTTTCCATTCTCACGGATCAAAAATCCCTCGGTATTTCTTGCAACTTATAGCGGAGGATTTATAGCATTTACACGGTTTCAACACAATGAAATGATGAAGCATCAGTGTGTGGATCTCTGCTGTGAATCTAGGTATTTTTCATCCCTGAGAGTGGAAAGTTGATGTACAGAGAATCAAAAAGAAAAATCAAACAGGACCAAACATACCACCTACATTTTCTTAGGCCTATTAGGGATGTGAGTAATATGTTTGACGTAAGCAAAGTGATGAATAGACGTTCATCAATCATAGTTAAGGTTTATTATTTTTTTTTCCGAACATAACTTTTTGAGAATAAATATACATGATTCAGATATTATAATTCTTTACGTTTCAGGAACTATTAATACAGATCTGTATGAAAGTTTTTGCAGGGTAGAAGCAAACAAAATAAAATAGATATAAAATCAAGTGGGTTTTCTTTGGTTTTTGCTAAGATGATTACCTATGGTAAAAGAAACAGCTTCCTGTTCGAATAAGAAATATCTAAATGTATGGCTTTAGCAGAGAAAAAACTGTTCAAAACAGGAGTCCTGCCTGTTTTTATACTCAAATATGCAGTTGAGTTGCAAAAAGATGCCTCAACTTCGTAGTTTACCATAGGTATTAGATGTAAGGCAGCGAAATAGCCTGTTCGATGCGGTTTTATCCGTAGATTACAAATATGGTGTTAGTTTTTATTAGAAGTGGAAAACGAATGAAAAAAATTGAATTTTACATTTTTCATGAATCCAACAAACCGTCATATTTTTGAAAAAGACTTTTTCACCAGTTAGGATAAAAACAATATGGGGCTTTTTATTGCCTAAAACCGAAGTATAAAAACAGTTTCTGTTTAAAAGAAAAGATAAATTAATTTTAAGATGGCAAACACCTATTTTCTACAGAACGCCCACACTTCAGAACTCTACTTTTCCTCTCCCAATGGTGTAATCAAAACAACAAAAACTCCAGTTGGTGCGCCTTCGCTTAAATATAACGTAAGACCTCAGGGACGTGCTAAAACAACAGTGTTTGACCTTATAACAAAACAAATTACTGAAATGAATAAATCTGCTAAATCTGACAAAATTCGAAAGCTCTCCTCATCCTAAACCTGTAATCTGCAAAACTTCGGGAATACGCAAACATAGTGAAGAGACTGGTCATTCACTGAATTGATACGAATGGCGATTAATTGATCAAGATTCTATAGCTCCATGAGGAGACCGAAACGTCGGTTAATGAGAAATAAAATCTATACATCAATGGCTGCTGTATAAAACCCAAAATCTGACACAGTATTCATTTTCAATGGTCAGCGGTTACAGTTTAAAACAGTAGTTCAAACAATTGTAGATTTTGATTTGCTTCACAAGCTACGCCGTAGTTCACTGTTAATTTTTGGAGCAATTTAATTTGAAAAACGCTAAATGCGCCTGCACTGAAGTAAACTCCACCACTGATGAGAGCAGTGAAACAGCTACGGGGCATTCGAACAAACCCAATTAGGATAGATGGATCCGGGGAAACACGAACTAAAATTTGATCTAAGATAATGATCGTATGAGTCGTGTGCAACAACCCATCCGCAGCAGACAGACAGAGGTAAACGTGTTATATACACAGTTTTACACAAAATACTTATTAATTATTTTTTCGTCCCGCCGTCTCTGAATTCCACATAAACCATACTTCATAACCGTAAGCCAACCATAAGCCATAATTTTGCATAAAATTTCTTGTGTTTTGCTGTCCGAAGAGCTTTTTCGGTGATAATAGAATTCGTGGCTCCAGTGTCTATCATAAGATGTTGTGCATTGTTGTTGATAATTAGACGTGTTTGAATTATTCTTATTGTTAGATGGTTGTTGTTTTACTGGATGTGCGAAGGGAGTAATATTTGTATTTTCATACGGAGGTGGCGATAGTGTCTGGTTTAGTGTAATTGTCGCTGGATTCATTAAAGAAGATAAGTTTTCTACTCGTTATTTAGTGGATAGATTACTAGACAATGCTTGAATTGGTGAAGAACTCGGTTGATCTGAATATTGTTGATTCAATTGGCGACGATCTGGGTTAACATACGTTTCAGATGCATAAGAAGGTTGTTGATTAATACTAATATACCATCTGAAAATTGATTCTGATCTAATTCACTACTCAAATGTTTTTGGATAGCTTCAGCTTCTTCTGACCTTTTTGGCCTTTTCTCTAGTATTTTCTTTCTTAAACTTGATCGTAAGGGTACACCGCCCCTCTCTTTTTTGCAGAAAAGTTGTCATTTTGAGCTCAACATAATCTAATGTAGAGGAAAGTCTGGGCCATAAAATGAGATCACTCCCAGCTC